GAAGGAATTTGCAGTTCATTGCGATGCGTCCAATTTTGGCATTGGAGGTACCCTCATCCAAACCGTAGACGGCCAGGAGCATCCGGTCGCGTATTGTAGTCGCTCACTTACCCACGCCGAGCGAAATTACTCGGCTACCGAGCGGGAAGCTTTAGCTGTGGTACATGTAGTCGAGCATTTCCGTCCCTATCTGGAGGGTAGTAGGCCATTTCGTGTTATTACCGATCATGCTAGTCTAAAATGGTTTCTGAAGCTTAAAAATCCGACCGGTCGCTTGGCGCGTTGGGGTTGTAGATTATCACCCTATAATTTTGTAATAGAACATCGCAGTGGCTCACAAAATGTGGTACCTGACGCGTTATCCCGCTCTGTTCCCGTGGCATCTATAGGTATCACGGACGCCACAGCCGACTCGTGGTATAATAATATAATTAAACGTTGTACGGACAAACCTAGAGCTTGTCCAAATTTTCAGATAGTTGATGGTAAGTTATACCGTTTCACAAAAAGTAGTAATAAGCTCAGTGGTGATTACCAGTGGAAACAGGTTATCCCGATTGAGAGTAGGGAATCTATAATTAAACAGAACCACTCTGAACCAATCGCGGCTCATCTTGGTGTGGCAAAAACTTATAAACGTTTAAAATTAAGATATTTTTGGCCCGGTATGTATAAGGATACCGAGGATTTTATTAAGAGTTGCTCGGTTTGCAACGCATACAAACACAGTTCACTGGCAACTCCTGGGTTCATGGGAGAACCTAAAGTTTGCTGTCGGCCATTCCAGTGCATCAGCATCGATTTAGTTGGCCCACTGCCGATGTCCAGACAGCAAAACAACTATTTGCTGGTAGTAGTGTGTTGCTTTACAAAATATTGTTTATTATTTCCTTTACGTCGAGCTACGGGTAGGGTGATTGCTCAACGACTGGAGGATCATGTCTTTTTGATTCATGGTACACCTCAAACCGTGATCTCCGATAACGGATCGCAATTTGTAAGCCATGAACTTCAATCTTTGTATGCCAAATATAATATACCACAAGTCCATTTGGGTCCTGTGTATTGCCCTCAGGTTAACACTGTCGAACGTTATAACCGTAATGTCATCACTGCGGTGGCCTCGTTCGTTGAAAATGACCATAGATCTTGGGACGTGAATATTCATAAGATCCAGTTCGCTATGAACACCTCTGTGAACGAATCCACGTCATATACTCCGTTTATGTTAGTTCATGGTAGGGAGGCTGTTACCGATGGTAGTATTTATGCCGGTTTCAACGATCTTGACGAGTTAGTGATAGTACCCCGGGATACTCATGCGTCTAATCTGGGTCATTTAGGTGAAATCTTTAAAAAGGTCAAGGACTCACTGCGAAAAGCCCACGATAGGAACGTTAAATATTATAACAGGCGTCGTAGGGATATTTCCTTTAACGTAGGCGATTACATTTGGAAACGGACGTATAAACAAAGCGCGGCTCATAAATACTTTTCAGTCAAACTTGCACCGAAATATGAACGTTGCAAAATAATCCGTAAACTCTCCCCACTCGTTTACGAGCTCAAAGACGAAAACGGGAAGTATGTAGGCAAATGGCATATAAAAGATTTCAAAAGCGCTGACCCCGAATAGATATTTAGGTAGGGACTTATCGCCGTGGATGTGGCGGCCGACGAATACCCATTCCGCCTTCTGCCCGGCGTGACGTAGAAATCGTCAATGGGTCTTGGTATCACACTGCATCTTAGATACCCATGTGTGTGTTCGTCCCCGATAGTGTGATCTCTTTGTTTGCCACCTAATTAATGCTTAAACACTTAATTGTCTCTTAACTTTTCCAGGAGAAGGTTTTGTTAATGTGCTTGTTAGTTTTTTACCTACCAAGGCATTTTATTGAAGTTGCTAATACAAATGAAAACGTATTAACAACAACTTTTATCATAATATCCTATGATGAGCATAGAATATTTATGATATTTTTTTTATTTCTCTCGGGAGACAGTAAATGAGACACACGATGGACGAACGCACAACATGCAATTTTGTGAGCAAATCGCCTTTGACCAATAACATCTCTTTGGTTAATTTTCTACCATTATGTTTTTCTCGGTATAACTGGTAACATTATAAATTTTTTTTTATTATATCTATTTTCGGAGCAAAGATGCTTGCGGTACGGCCTTGAGTGGTATACACTTTGTGTTACTATTGTCATTTATTATTATCTATTTTTGTTACAACTTAGAGATTTATCAATGATTTATCGTTCTGTATGTTTATTTTTTCTTAACTTAGCGGTTTATAATATTCTATTATTTTATACAACATAACTTAATCATATCTTAACTAAAGTACATAAGACATGGGGATATACGAACGAGGGCGTTCGACGAATTCCCTACGTGAATTCTGCCGTGAGTGGGGGGATACTGTAGTGTTTGTTTTTAAACAGAGCGTGACACTGACACACGTAGGACAGCTGTTTTGTCTATGATAGGGAACCGCTTACGTCAGCGTAGCTGTCAAACTTCATTGATTGGGTTGGTAGCCTTGAGGGAAGAGTCGATTTTCCTATTCGACTAAAATATTCGCCTTGAGACTTATAAAAAAAAAAAAAAAAAAAAAAGTAATCAGGCGGGGAATCTCTGTGGGGGCGCGTGGATGAATGGATGGAGTTTGACAGTTGTTGAATTTTGAATAGTCTTTCCCAGATCGATTTGAGTCCTCATTATCGGGTGCTGTTTTTAATCGATTTTGAATTTTACTCGAAATTGAATTTCCTCGCTGATTTGGGTAGGTATTCCCTTTTCCTCAGCTTACGGCGAGCGTAGGTATATAGTTTTGAGTTTATTCTTCGGTTCGTCTCGAATGCGGCGGCTGTCTGTTTGACTGTGGCCTTTGCCTTCAGTTGAAGTGGGAAACAAATCATAGACACATGTTTGGGAGTGGACGATCCGTCTATCATCTATGAGCAATTGTCAAAACAACTTTTAAAATTTCACAATCTGTTTGTGGTACAGTTAACTTTTCATCTTTTCTTCTGCCCAAAGTATAATAAACGGCATATTACTGTCGTCGGAGTCGTGAGATAGATCCGAAGAGTTTATATCCCGAAGGATATTGGCGGAAAAAGCGCGGAGTCGCTAACCGAACTGAGTTTCGTAGGTGGACGAACACGAACCTTCGCAAGGCGATTGCAATAATAAGGCGGTAACTTGTGATAGGAAACAAAATACTTACGGATAGTTTCATATTTCGAACGGCTTGTACGTTCCCCTCAAGAAATACTGGAGGACTAAAAAGGAGACTTTTTTCTGTACACGGACCAGAAGGGACGCGGGAGTTTATTTGCCAGCCGCTCTCCGGTTTTATGTAACCCGGCCGTAACAGCAGACAGATTATACACAGCTTAACCTATCATAATCAAGGTATTTCTCTACTAACCCCGGGCGAACGTGGAAAGGAACCACCAGGCGAGGTTGGACCCCGACTTACCCAGTTCCATATATTTACATATATCTATATAACTGGTTATCTCACTGAGAACTAGAATTAACTAAGTTTGTCACCAATATCGATCAAACGAGCCGTAGAACCTCTGAAATCCACTAAATAGCTTATTCAGTCTAGTCTATGTGGTATTTGTGGATAAAATATATTAGTAAGTATTATATTGTAAGTACATGGTAAAGTGTTATGAATGTCTGATATTCATATAATTATAACCTTTCATGACAACTTGTTGGTTTATATACACATTAACTTTGAACTGCTGTATTCAGCTTAGATATTTATAATTATTGAAACATAGTTATTATATAAATAATAAACATAGTTAGACTTGTTGATTTATATAAGCAATAACTTAAAACTACTGAATTCCTATGCTTTGGTATCTAAAGTGGATAAAATATACTTATAACATTATCTTAATTTTTTGGTTTTCTTTTATTGTTCCCCCGGTGCTCTGCCGTGAGTGGAGGGGAATTAACATCACACCCTATACCGTGGAGCCCTAGAACCTTACTCACCGATAGAAATACACCACCAAAAGGTATAATGGGATTCAAATAAGAATAAGAAAGCTAATGACCTATACCTATCAAATGCCGCTTGAAAAGTACGGTTTGCAAAAAAAATTGGATCCCTTTTTAAGCACTACGCTAATTCAAGAATAAAAGCCAAACATTTGTAAACAAACAATAACAAATATTGATATTTTTTTTTTCACTTATTGAGCTTTGGGCATGTATGGTTGATAACCTAAATCGTCAACCAAATGTCACTTTACAGAAACTCGATTTCAAACTTTCGTTTACTTAAAGGATGCATGTTCGTATGTGACCTAGTAATAGTGCATGATTATTCATAACTACTCCGGCGGTTATGCAGAGATGAGCGGAAAAGAAGAGCTAGATTCTGATTAATGTTTTTTTCTCACAGTCATAATAAATAAAGATTATTAAAAATCGGTATTTTTTTTTCTCAATCTTAGTAAATAAATGTTATTAAAAAAATCTGATGCTTTTTCTCACTTAATCTTAGTAAATAAGTTTTATTAAATAAAAACTTTTTTTTGCGCACTCTACCTAATTGGTTTGAATTGACAGCTTTGACATCACAATATGGCGCCCAGTCGGTCCTATCCTTAGTTGAATCGCATTGTAGTGTTATTTTACTGTGGTCTTCAAGGTTACTTCTACACGGGCGCTCCAATTCGAGTGGGAAATCCTCCACTCTCTTAATGCTATAGCAATAGATTTCTCTCATATTCATTATTGTAAAAAATCTTACTATCGTATAACTAAAGTGAATACGTAATTTCTTATGTGTAGCATTGAGGACAATATGTCGACCTTGTAATTGTTAACATTGTTAAGTAAAAACATATTGTTACTTTAAATTCAAGGGCAACTTGTTTGTTCTTTCTTTATTCAGCTAACGTATGACTGTTTTAATGTTGATAAATAAATATTATTATTATTATTTATTTCAGGTGGTCCCAGTGGTGGGAAACACATTACGGATGTGACCAATGCATCGAGGACTATGTTAATGAATATAGAAAATTTAAATTGGGATCCGTTGCTGTTGAAGTTTTTTGAAGTTCCCAAGTCGGTTTTACCAGAAATAAAATCCAGTTCGGAGGTTAGAGATCTTTTTGATATCATCAGTTAAGCTAATGACTAAGCAGAAATCGCTTATCACTTTATCAGCTAGCTTTTTATACTATATGTAGCTTAAGTGGGCAACATATATATTGCTTATAATCCCTACTTATAAATAGATTGCAGAAGCGTTTTTTAATTAAACAATTATTTTGTAGGAAAATATAATTCATAGACAAAAGGTTGATACATAATTGAAACAAGTTGATATTTTTAAGATAGATTTCTTAAGATATAAAATGTAGCAATAATTATGTTGAAGTCTTGCACATAGTATGGATGGTAGCAGTTTCCCTCGAAGTAGAGGAAAAAACTTAGTTCAATCGAGCCGAATTCTCTTTGTAGTATTAGATATAAGTTGGTATATTTGAAAAACTGTATCGCGTTGTCGGATTGCGTTTTCCATAACTTTTCGTTTTCAAACCAACTTGGGAGGCAGAAATAAATACTGATAAACTATTTTTTGTACCGATTCATCTATTGATATTGTAACGACATACTATCTTTGTAAATGTCGCTTTTATTAATTGAATAGAGAATCTCGATGGTGCAAGTGGTTAGTGCGTTCGGCTGCGGCGTTTAAGTTAAGCAACTTTCGCAGTGGTCGGTCATCAAATGGGTGACTAAAAATTTTCTATCTCCTTCGTGCTCAGAAGGCATGTTAAGCCGTTGGTCCCGGTATCTGTAGTTCATAGCACCCACCAATCCGCCCTGGGCCCGCGTGGTGAATCATGGCTCAATCTCCCTATTCCATCCATAGGGAAGGTCTGTGTCCCAGCAGTAAGAACATTAATAAGCTAGTTGACACTTTTTGGAAATATGCTTTAAATCGTTAATAATTGTTCTATTAGACCGAAAAAAAAATATTGTAAATTTTTTGCCTAGTAAGCTACAAAACTTTAATTTTAAAATATATTTCTCATGTACAACAAAAACGCTGTCGGCCATTTTAGTCAACAGATTTATCTATGCTATGACGTCAAAACATTTGTAAACAAACACTCGCAGGCACGTAAGAAATAACCTATCTGAGTTTATTATATCAAACCATGATTTCTAATACATTACACGAAAATTATAGTAATTATCATGATTGTATTATACGAGAATGTAGAAACACATCGTTAAAGACTCCAGAGAAGTCAGGGCCGGGTCTACTATATGGGTTTTTGGGCTTCAGCCCAGGGTCCCGTGAATTCAAGCGGCCCCCAACTAAGTCAAATCAAAGTCAAAAATAGACGATAATGCGAAAGAATCCAAACAGATCATATGGTTTGAAGCTCTGCGAATCCTGCGATTAATCAAACCCATTCAATTCAAGTTTACGTTAAGGTGTTGGTACTTCGAACTGACAGTTAAAATGTTCAGCTGCCATTACACATTCATCTCAATCCTGCTCCGCTGTTTCCCTCCCAGACTCTGTCTCTTACTGTCTTGCTAGAATTATTTATAAGTAGTACCATTATTTATCATTTTTATTTTTAATTATTTAAACTAGTAGGTTAGAAAGAAGTAGTTTGGTTTTAGAGGACTGCAGTGGATCGTGATCCACATTGAATGTGTAATGGCCGCCTACGGGTTGGCAACCCTAAGCTCCTGGTATGCATCTCTGTCAAACATAACGGATTTTAATGGACGACAGTATATTGTCTTAATTTAATAGAGCTGTAGATATTTTAATTTATCTCATACAGTCAAATTCTATAGAAATCATCAAAATTGCAAGCAAATATGGCCAACTGACATTAACGTATTTTTAGTCTATGTACTGGTGATGCGACAAAACCTCTCATTAATCGCAAAGTGAAATTATTGTAGTACTTACGTACCCTTATATCGCCACGTTAAATCAACTAGATACTAATGATACGTCTTTTTCAATCTACTATCGTTATGAAATGAAATTATAAAAGAAGAAGACAGCCTAATTGATACTTGAACACGTTTGCAAAGATGTTGTTGCATGTATTTTAAAAATAATATATCTATGAAAATTCAGATAGGCAATAATCGCTGAATTTCCATAGCAGATATAATATTTTTCAAATAGATATCTATAGCTGAGCTAGTGATTCACTAAAAAAAGAAAATTAAATTACTTTTCTTGAGTAATTAGATGGGCCCCTAAGTAGTATTAGCCCAGGTCCCCCTAAACTCACGGTCTGGCCTTGAGAGAAGTTCTGGTTTAATTTGCCTGTAGAAATAAACACCTACACATGTTTAAAACTTGCTTAATCCTGTAACTGTATCGTCTGAAAGTAATTTATTTTTTTAAACATCACTTCGATGTATGTAGTCATTGAATAATATTTAAAGTATACAAATAAAAATTTTAAGGTTATGAATGTACCTACTAAGTCGAAGAGTTTTGCGGTGTTCAGCATTAATTTAGTCAACAAAACCAATAAACGGAACCTTTTCTACAATATGTAAGAGTTTTTATATATATTTTATTCCAACGAAAGAAACCACAGTAATACGACAATGACGTTTAGTTGTTTACAAATTTTATGACGTCACAATCATGGTGGACAGCGTTTTTAGTGTTTAAAAAGTATAAACAAAAACAACTATTTATCAAATTAAATTACTGCAGCTATCTTCTAATTTTATGAAGTGAAATAGATGTATATACGATCCTCATAGCAACAGTTATAAGAAATTAACATTTGAATAGTACACTTTGACATGAGTCAACTATTGAATGTTGTAGAGTTAATTTCGCCCGTTTTTCTCCACGTCTAAAAATGTCTTTAAACGGGCACTGCGTAAATAAAATATGACGAATTAAATTATAAATTATACATCCATTTCGATTAAAGAAAGTTTTGACTTTTAACTTCCAGATATATGGATACATTGCTGACGGACCCTTAAAAGGTATTCCTATATCAGGTTGTTTGGGCGATCAGCAAGCCGCTTTAGTGGGTCAGATGTGCCTCCAGAAAGGTCAAGCTAAAGCAACATACGGAACTGGCTGCTTTGTCCTATATAATACGGGCGACATTCGCGTCAACTCCAGTAGAGGATTGTTGACGACTGTCGCATACCAAATAGGTAGCAAGAACCCTGCTAATTACGCACTAGAAGGATCGGTGAGTTGTAAATTTATTAATTACAGTCCCATAGATACACTCAAGTGTCAGAAGTGTAAGGAGGAGTTGAGGGTTAATTTTTCAATATTCAGATGAAACCTTTATCATATAATACCGATGCATTATAAAGGGTTTTGTGTTTCCGTACTGTCTGTCCGTCAAGGGCTATAATAAATTCCTATAAAAAGGAAATAGGTAGACATTTAAAATTTTCACAGAATCAAATCAAGAAAAAATAAGCGGGGCCTCTATACAAGTCTTATTTTTTTCTATTTGTTTTGCTCGATCATGTTTTACATATTATTGTAATATGGTATGGTACCTTCCTTTTTTACCTAATACGACCTGTTTTTCAGTAACTAAGCTAAAAATCGGGGATGATAGTAATGTTTAAAGACCTAATTAATTTAGTTTATTACGTTCTTAATTTCCATTACCCATTAAATTCATTGATATAAATACATATTTAGCTCTTCCCAAATAGATTTCATTGATTATTTAAGGTAGCTATTGCGGGTGCGGCGTTGGGGTGGCTTAAAGACAACCTGGGCCTTTTAGATAGCGCTAAAGATTCGCAAGATTTAGCTGAAAAAGCCACAGAAAATGGGAGTGTAATATTTGTACCCGCATTTAGCGGTTTGTATGCTCCATATTGGCGCCAAGATGCGCGAGGGTGAGTAAAGATTGTACTATAAATTTTACAATTTCACATGGTTATTCGGTATTTGCGTATTCCACGAAACAGTTAGTACAGAAGGTAATCTACACACAAAATGCGCTCAAGCAATGCACGCATAGACACCGCTCACGGACACGATATCTCGGATCGCTTGGGACCAGTGCAGGTGCGAGTTCCATCCGCTTGAGACACGGATCAGTGAACTTTTTGTGCAAGTACGGAGTAACAGGAAATAGTTATTTTAACAGTTCAGTACCCCTAGCACGAACCATTATCGAATTCGAATAGTTTGCAAACCGAAATGTCAATGTCAATTTTTGAATGGAAACTTGAACAGCAGCGGCACAAAGTACGTAACGTGAACTAAAAATCAGTACACATTTGTCAATTACATTTCGGACTCGCAAACGATACGAATCCGATATTGGTTCGTGCTAGGGCTACAGTTCAGTGGACGGTTGTTTCAACTCAATATTAAACGGAGAATTGTCGTTTTTTTCATCTGTGCCTTTTGTAACAATAACATTAAAATTGAAATACTTTAGTTATTATTGGTTTATATTTCCATTGTTCCTGTTTCATTTTCAACAGTAAATTAACAAATAGATACGTAGGAGTTCCACTACCACGATTTGACAATCCCAACGCGACTACCGAGTATACAAGTTAATCTTACAAAACAATCTTAAATACAAAGAACGTACAGATATTGTTACACTTTCAGTTGAACGTAATATAGAAATATCTTGTGTGGAACTTGAAGAAATGATCATAATATGTGTATATCGGCCCCCATCTGGGAATTACACTCAATTTGAGTCCGCTATGGAAGATGCTTTCAATATAGTATGTAGATGTAATAAAGTGGTTGTTGTGTGTGGTGATTTTAATATAAACATTTTAGTTAAGTGTCCATTAGTGAGTAGGTTTCTAAACTTATTTAAATCATATAACCTGGAGCATACCTTCTTTGAGCCTACCCGCATCACACATGCATCAGCGACCTGTTTAGATAATATTTTTTGTAATAGAAATGTTTTTAATAAATCAATAATAAATTGTATTAATTCTGATCATAGCGGACAATTAACCTCTACTGAACACCATCATGCTTCACCCAAACATGACCTAACTTGTAGACCAATTACACAAACAGGTATAAATAAATTTCAAGATAGCGTTTATCACAAAATATCGTACTTACCAGTTTGTAGTAATAATAATATTTTGTATGAAGATTTATTCAATTTAATTAAAGATGAATTTAATATAATATTCAAACGCAAAGTTATTAAATGCCATAGCTTTAAAAAGAAATTTAGTGATTGGGCCACACCGGGTATTTACAAAAGTAGAAATAAGTTGTATCAATTATATGCTCTCAAGGCAACCTCATCTGATCCTAAGTTTATAGAATATGTCAAAAACTATTCAAAAACTTTCAAAAAGGTGTGTGCCATAGCAAAAGCTAAGTTTTTATCAAAAAAAAAATAGTCTTTCCGATAATAAAATAAAGACAACTTGGAATATAATTAATAATGAAACTGGAAGAAATAAATTTAATGAACACACATATTCTTTAAAAATAGACAATAAGATTATTAGGACAGATGATGCCGTTGCAAACACTTTTGAAAATTTCTTTTCTAGTGCACCATTTGAAACAACTAGAAATCTTAATTCTTGTTCTAGGTTAGCAATGACCCTCCTTGAGTCAAGTGTTGATAAGTGCAGTAATGATTTTCATTTTAGACATATCAGTAGCGACTATATTATAAAAACTTTTAACTCAATTAAAATTAAAAAGACAGAGGATTATTGGGGAATATCAACATATATAATTAAACCGATTATCACTGTTATTGCGCCACAACTGTCCATTATATTTAACAAATGTATTGATGAGGGAGTGTTTCCAGATCTAATGAAATGTGCTAAAGTTATCCCTCTCTTTAAGGCTGGTGACAAATCAGATCCCAGCAATTTTAGGCCTATATCTGTATTACCAGCGCTAAGTAAAGTATTTGAGAAAATAATTTATAACCAATTACTAGCACACTTTTCTATAAATAAGCTATTTCATTTAAAACAGTTTGGTTTCACTAGAGGCAAAAGTACTACTGATGCTGGAACTGCACTTCTCAAACACATCTTTGATATATGGGAGAGTAAGCACGATGCTATTGGCATTTTTTGCGACTTATCAAAGGCGTTTGACTGCGTTAGCCATGAAACATTGTTAAATAAAATGAAGCATTATGGTGTATCAAATATTTCACTAAGTCTGATACAGTCTTATCTTTCTGCTAGGATTCAGAAAGTAGTTATAAATGAAGCTGAGGAGCACCCATTTCTATGGGCGTGCCCCAGGGTTCAATATTGGGCCCATTGCTTTTCCTTATTTATATCAATGACCTTCCTCACTTTACAAGAGATTTGTGTGAGACAGTACTATTTGCTGATGACACCTCTTTATTGTTTAAAGCTAGAAGAGCAAATGATTGTTATGACGAAGTAAATTGTGCTCTCTCTGAAGTCCTTCACTGGTTTACGGTAAATAATTTAAAACTTAACTCCAGTAAAACAAAATGCGTTAAGTTTACTCTACCTAATGTGAGACAGGTTAATACTAGTATAAAAATAAATGACCAGCCTGTAGAGTTAGTGGATTCTACAAAGTTTCTGGGTATTACTTTAGACTCTCGTCTGCAATGGGATCCTCATATTGATGCCTTGTCAAGTAGATTGAGCTCTGCAGCTTTCGCTGTTAAAAAAATAAGACTCTTAACTGATGTGGAAACGGCAAGATTAGTTTACTTTGGTTACTTTCATAGTGTTATGTCATATGGCCTTTTGTTGTGGGGCTCAGCCGCTAATATCGAAAGTATTTTCATACTGCAAAAGAGAGCTGTTCGCGCCATATACAATTTAAAGGCAAGAGAATCCCTTAGAGAAAAATTTAAAGAAATTAATATTTTAACACTGGCGTCGCAATACATTTATGAAAATTTAATATATGTAAGAAAAAACTATGATAAATTTGCAAAAAAAAGTCAAACCCATAACTTTAACACGAGATTTAAGAACAAGCTTGCCGTTCCATGTTTCAGACTCCAAAAATCAAGAGGTTCATTTCTGGGTTGTAGTATTGCATTGTTTAACAAAGTTCCCCAAGATCTGATTGAGCTTCCACTGACTAAATTTAAATCTCAGATCAAAAATACTCTTATGAATAAGGGCTATTATAAAGTTGATGATTATCTAAATGATCGTAATGCATGGACATAGTGTTTCTTATAATTTGATATTAAATGGGTATTACTCATTTTTCATAACAGTAATATTGTACCTATCTAATGCCGCTTCCTATATACTACTTAAAATGTTAACTATAAAATTAATTGTAACTACATATTTATATTCTAGATGATGTAATGGAAAGTGACTTCAGACGTATTTCTGAAGTAATTTTTCAACTTGACGACACTGTATATAACAATACAGGGAGAAAAAAACAGCCCTTGCTGAGTTTCTTGCCGGTTCTTCTCAGTACAAGGTCTCCCGCCGTAGTTTTGCGAACCGATGGCGTAGCTTCTTGACCTTCACAAGTGCTTGTAACAGCCTAGACTGAATAAATGATATTTCATTTCATTTCATTTCATTTCATTTCATTTCATTTCATTCATTTCATTTCATTTCATTAAGTTGGAACATACATGATATTACCTTCTGTGCTACCCACTTTGTGTATTCCGCAATCATTACCAATCACACCATATTATGGTTCTCCACACATGGCGCCAAACATCGGAAATTCACAGATTAGCCCGATTCTGTGATTCTCTTAACTTAACCTAAAATTTTATTTGACAATAGTGTATCCTTGTCATGCTCTATGCTCGTACTCAATGAAAGGGAGAGTTTGCGGTTTAATTCGGTTTTAAGTTTAAAATATCAGGCTCATTGTTATGTCAATTAAACTAACGTGCTGTATAATAGTCGACTCGTGGCTTTATTGATTCATTTTCATAGTGTCAATAAGCAACCAGCATATTTTGTTGTCATGGACGTATAAAAACAAAAATATTTTTTATAGATAGGTCCGACAAATGACTCCACTACTCTTGATGTTAAGTGACGTTGAAGTCCAGACGCAAAGATAGCTGATACAGCAGTTCTTTCCGCCACACCAGCCATCCTCACCCTGCCGGCCTGCATGTTGCTTCACTTAAATTTAATTAACTTTAATTAACCAATAACGTATACGTGGCTGGTTAAGGTTCAAAATTACGCATAACAGACGAATGTGCGTAATTTTGCTTCCGAAACTTTTCGAGTGCGACTGTGAGCCTACTTGTTTTTATACTTCAATAGTTTTTTTTTGTGTAATCATAGGGGCATTAAGCGTTTTTTTCCTTTTTAGTGTAATTTGCGGCATTACGGAAGATACTAACTCGAACCACATAGCGAAAGCAGCCCTCGAAGCGGTGTGCTACCAAGTCAAAGACATTTTAGACGCCATGAACGATGACTGTGGTATTCCATTGCAACTCTTGAAGGTAATGACGTAGTATAGACATTTTTATCCATACTTAATATTATAAATGTGGAAGTGTCTCTGTCTTTTACCTGAACCGATTTATATGAAATTTGGTACTGAGATAGTTTGAGTCACGAGATAGGATTTATTATAATATTTTTTATCCCAGAAATCACCCTTCAATCCTTATCTATTATCTATGTATTTTATATGGTAGTTATCCTGGGATACGAAAAGATAAAACTTACCAATCATAAGTTCACGGTGAAATTATTAATGAGGGCTATCGCGTATGAATCCGCCGCTAGAGGCGCTAGTGTAGCGTGAGGTCTCTGAAATGTCAAATGTTATTGCTTGTTGGTTGACTACGCGGGTTTATTTCTAATTAAAATAATGTTGTGAATAATTGGTAAAAATTCGGCTTAATTATGGCAAATATGAGCTATGTGGCAATGAATGTCAGTTATTAAAAATTTGAGCTTAGAAAAATGATTATGTTCCCATTTTTTCCGAATAAAACGGAACTGCGCGTCACTGTGGCATGGCCTATTATGTTTAGGATATGGTTCTTTTGTGTTAAAATACGATCTAAATGTAACCTTTGGTTTCATGTGCATATTAATAAACTTTAAAAGTTACAATTTAGGACCTCACTCAACAGCGGCGCCACCTGGTGAGGCAGAAAACGGCAGCCCTCATTCTTAGAAGTTAATTTGCCCTGATTAATCTGAACCTTGTGGAACCCCAGCCGTTATAGCCTATGCTATAATGGCTAGATAACACAAGATTCAGTGCTATGTCCGATGCTGTTTATACTGCAGATTAATCCGGGCAAATTAACTTCTAAGAATAATAAATTCGCCGTGACTTATTGGAGATTGGTTTAAATTATATTCGTTATAAGTAGAGTTTCACAAGGTCCAGTGCTGTCCCCAATGATATTAAATACCCTAGATACACCACGAATGCTCAAAATGTGTCCCAATCAAGAAGTGCTTGAACTCCATTCAAGCACTTCTTTGTTCACAGTCGGGTGACTGTGAACCTGCGTACCGTTGAAAAGTCAAGATGCCGCAAAGCTTCGTGAAAAATATGCGAAAAAGATACTAATGGAACGCAGTGTCGTTTTTTCGACTGGTATCTAATCAATGTTTGTTTATTGAACGCATTTGAAAAAAAATTTGTTCTAATACTATGGACTGATTTAATATCAAATACTTGTGGTATTCAAATGCATGGTCGGTCATACGTCGCCGTATAACTGTCTCTTTTCCTCGCGGTCCGTTTCTGCTATATTGCTAACAGCGCATTCTGAATTGCGCCTAGAGGCAAAGCTGTAAAGTCTATATTCTTCCGCATATAGCAATAGTCATAAAATTTTACGAGCTTGCATTTGTCCAATATACCTTTTGGACACGTTTCGGCCACGATTTTGTTCAGTGTTGTTGTATCTAGGGTATTTAATATCGTAGGCTGTCCCCGATATTGTTCATCTAGTAGGTATAACAATAGTTTGCTGTCGAATAACGATCGTCAGTGCTAACAACATATAACAATAAATAGAAACGCCGTGAACAAAGTCTGAGGGTTCATTTGAGATTTGAAATATTATTGAAATATACCACCAGTCAACACGAATGTTGAGCCTAAGGCTTTTGTGTACCACATTTTGATCTCTTATACTTAATTGTGTAATGTAAGAAACATTTTTTCTTAACCTTTTGTCTGTTAGTAGTCAACAAAAAATGAATATATAAGATAGTTTTTGTTGCTCTCTATTAAATTTAAATCTAATATTAAGTTTAATTAGTTATTAAACTATCATTTTTATTATCTGTCAAGCGTGTTTTTATATATACACTAATATGTAAATATGAACATTTATGTGTATATAATTTATATACTTATACAGAGAGCTGGTATCCCCACAGACCAGAGGTTAATAAAATTTGCTTTTGTAGATAGCTACAAAAGCAAATTCTAATAAATACGTCGTTTCTCAAAAATTAGCGTACACGCACTGTGTGTCTGCTCTACTGCTTCCTGTTCCATACCCGATATCCCTCTGCATTTCTTTCTCTTGCTTATTAAAACCAGTATTCTCTCAGCCTTTTTCAAAAATCATATATTTATCATTGTATAAAGTACGAAGGGAGGAGCTCGATGGCGCAGGTGGCTAGCGCGTTCGGCTGCGATCGTTGAAGTTAAGCAACTTTCGCAGTGGTCGGTCATTGGATGGGTGACCAAAAATTTACTATCTCGAGCTCCTCCGTGCTTCGGAAGGCACGTTAAGCCGTTGGTCCCGGCTGCATTTGCAGTCGTTAGCACCCACCAATCCGCACTGGGTCCGCGTGGTGGGTCATGTCCCAATCTCCCTATTCCATCCATAGGGAAGGCCTGTGCCCCAGCAGTGGGGACATTAATAGGCTGATGATGATGATGAAAGTACGAAAGCAATTTTTAAATTAAATAAAAATGAGGTTTCTGTTTATTTTTCGATGTTAACAAACAGACAATAGTCATTAAATAATGGATTAAAAAATTTTTTTTGTTCACTTCTATAATTTAGGTATTTTCATATCACAATAATTATATGAGATTATAATTGAAATCGGACGCGTTTTGATTTCATCGTCATCATCAGCGTATTAGTGTCGCTACTGCTAGGATACAGGTCTTCATTATGAATGATGAGTGTGGATTGATGGGTGTTAACGACTGCATATGCAGCCGGGACCAACGGCTTAGCCAACAGCTTAACGTGCCTTTCGAAGCACGGAGGAGCTCGAGATAGAATATGTTTGGTCACCCAACCTATGATTGGTCGTTGCGTGATGTTGGTTTACTTTCACGATTGCAGATCTAACACGGTAACTAAACACTGTGTCATTAAAATATTTCAAGTTTTGGTTTGAAAGGACATGGTAAAATTTTGTATGAGCGACTGCCCTAGCAATGTATAAATATTGTATTTAGTAATATAATGCAGAATGGCTGAATATTTATAATTTCTATGAAAAAGGGCTCAGGAACTTTTGATAAAGTCACAATCTTGAAAATTATGAGATCGCCTACGAGGTCAATACCTTGCTACATTTGATAAAAGATGTTGTCAAATATTTACAGAGTCATCAATTTCGCATTTTCTTAGAATATTTCTTCACATTTATCTGATTAACACTTCACAAAAAGCATTTTTAAAACTAAAAATAAATACAATTAAAAATAAATATATTTTTTTGTTGTCGGCTTGACATGAAGTCTGTGAAGTTTTATTTTGTTCATTTGCAAAAATCAAAGCATTGATTATCATACAGCCTTCTCTGAAGCCTGATCAGAAAAATAAAATCTATTATTTTAGGCTTCAGTGATTTGTTATAATAAAAATAAGGTCCAATACGTCAAAGTTTTTGGGAGTTTTGAATTAATATTATTTATTTCGATATTGACAGAAATATTTTTAGTATACATTTATTGTTCATTTATTTTAGTAAAACGGAACATTTTTCCTTTGAAACAGACATGAAGTCAATTTTAATACTTTTAAATGTTTGATTATTTCACGAAAGTTGTACGAGAATTATAAACACGTAATAATTAATAAAAAAATATTATAAAATTATGGACTAGTGCAAAATAATTATACACGTTAAGGGCAGTTTTTTAGCCATGTCCTTTATCAAATGAACTACACTAGAACATACATGTATAGAAATATCAAAATTGAATTGTAATTATTTCAATTAAATTTCGTTTAATGATAAGTTATTAAGAGTAAGCGCTCATTGAACCGGCCACTAGTGGCTCTGTCAAACCACTAGACACAGCCATGTTAGTGGCCCACTCGAACGCTTATGGCGCGATTACACTTGGTTGTTAGCCTGAATACGAATGCCAATGGAATTCGGGTAAACGACTGAGTGTAAATGAACGGAGTCGAGTACGCTGTTACTCGAGTACATTTCTTTTTGTTTCCCCGATACTGTCTTCCAGCCCGTATTCTAATGTAAATATTCGTCATTCGTGGTAGTTATCAAGTATTCGTGCACCCGAATACGGAATAACGACCAAATTTAATTGCGTCATTAGTTTGCGCCAGTACTTAACAGAATGTATGTAAAAACTCGACCGCAAATTGTAGACGCGTTTAGTTGCTACCACTAGTGGCTCAATGTGCGCTTGCTCTAAACGTTGTTAGACAATTCGCTCCCCATTTGTTTATTTTACTCGATGATATTAAATACCCTAGATATACACCACGTGCGCTCAAAATGTGTCCCAATTAAGAAGTGCTTGAACTCCACTCAAGCACTTCTTGGTTTACAGTCATGCGCGGGCAGTTGAAAAGTAAAGATCCCGCAGAGCTCTGAAAAATGCGAATAAAATACTATATTACGTAAAGTGTCGTTTTTTCGACAGGTAATTAATCAATGTTTGTTAATTTAACGCATTTGAAGCAAATTTTATTGTAATATCAACTGATGTAATATAAAATATTTGTGATATTCAAATGCATGGTAGATTATGCGTCGCCGTATAGACGTCCCTTTTCCTCGCGGTCTGTACCTGCTAACAGCGCATTTAGAATTGCGCGTAAAGTCAAAATTATAAGGTCTATATTCTTCCGCATATAACAATAAGTCTTACGAGCTTGCATTTCGAACTGTCATAAGTCTTTGACGCATGCGTTTGAATTAAGACCTTATACAGTATGCATTAAAGGTGGTTTTGTTGACAATGTTTAAATAATGCATTATTGTTTTTGACCACGAGATCATCTTACGGAGCTCCGTGGATCGTCCAATGTACCTTTAGGACAAGTTTCGGTCACGATTTTGTTCGTGTTGTTGTATGTAGGGTATTTAAAATCATTGATTTTACTAGATAATTTTAAGTGAAATAAACTCGCTCTAACTGAGCATTGTAAATATTTGAAATTGATTATTCAGGTCGACGGCGGTATGACTGCAAACGCATTAGTAATGCAAATGCAGGCCGATTTGATCGGGATCAATGTTATAAGGGCCGGTTTCACAGAGAGCACCGCTTTAGGAGCGGCATTAGTTGCCTACTGGGGCATTGAGAGTAATCCCCAAATCAACACCATACACATGACCAGTGGCACAATTTACTCACCCAAAATCAGTGACGACGAAAGGGATATGAGGTACAAACAATGGAAAATGGCCGTCGACAGATCATTGGGTTGGGAACAAAATTGATTGTGATAATTAGATTACCAATTTGTTTATAAAAGGTTGCTTTAAATAGTTTCCAGAGTTTTTATGAAGCGGACTAGTTGCCCGATTTGTGTATGCGTAACAAATTATGAAGATGTTATTAATTAAGTAAATGATAGAAATGTTTAATTGGTTTCAATGGATTTCATTTATCGATTCCTAAAAGAGTGTCAATGCGTTGAAAAATAAATTGGAAAAATATTTTAATATCAATGAGCTGTTTTGGTTATGGGGCAGGCTATTATATTCGGCCATCTTAAGTAACTAACTCGCTTCATAACTCTGCATAACGATTGCGAACATTTTTGTGTTCAAATAGCCTTCGATAGAAGTTAATCTATAAGTAATTTTTGCCTATTTCCTATGTAAGTGTTTTTGTGAATTTATCTCGAACACCATCAAGATACAATGTTCCATTACTCTAAAAAGACGTTAAAAAGACATTAGCTAATTATTAGTCAATCACGGTTTTTTCTGCACTTCATTCCATAGTTCCATTCCATTTAAACCGTTTTGCGTGCATATTTTAATTTATGATAATAACTTTTGCTCATAATATTCTTATGAACATTGAAGCGAGCGAAGCGTAGGTTAAGTTCAAGCCCCAAACTGGCAAATTCCATTCAAAATCTTTATCCATTTACACTTGCACACTATAAGAAAGTCATACACACACCCATACATCTTCACGCCATGGCAATTTCATACAATATTGAAGATGAAATAAGCCCCATATTATAGTCCCATAAAAAATATGCTGCCCAATTTTAATGATTTCCGTAACTTATTATAATTGTATAATTTAAAGATGCACATTTACCATAATAATTATCTTAAAAGATATTTTAGGTGGTATAAAAACCACTTAAATGTGTTTAATGAATTCTGCGTTTTATTTACACTAATGCATGATTATACTTGAGGTGCAAAATTGGGCACAGTTGTATGGAAAATATAATGGGTCCTTTATCAAAAGTATCGTTTGGCTTATTGTTCGGTGAACGAATCGCACATCTTGTTTGCTTTACAAATTAACCGGACCCTTGAATATTGTTATTAGGTAATTGGGATTATATTTATTGTTTATTAATTTAGGTTGTTCAAGTTGGGTTAGTTACAGTCAGTGAGAGCGCTGCACTTCAATATTTATAATGAATACTTTCATTATTCGTGAAAATCCTTTCATTTCTCGCTTTTGTTATAATTTCCGAAGTAACATTATGTTGTTCGTTATTGTTAATATTCTAACGCAGGAGACAAAAACTAAGGATTTTCCGTATTTAATTTTAAAAAGTGTTTTTAGATCATTAAAAAAAGTTTTAATATCAATAAGTTTTCACATAGATATTAGTGACAAAGAAATGCAGGCTTTATAACTAGCTTTATAACGTGTGTAAGTATCAAAAGTGGAGGGTTTTTATCGAGAACCAATATGATGTCAGGTAAAATATAGCTAGTTATGTTGAACTAGTCTGTATATAATAATAAACAATTTAGATCGAAATCGAGGCGATTTAAACAGATATGAAGTTTTCAATTTAGATTAAATTTTATGGAGCTTGGGAGAATTATTTTAAATTAATTTTGACGATGGCTATGATGACTCCTTCAAGATAATTATTTTTTTGTTTTATTCATGAACCATTGTACCAAATTCGTTTTTATTTAGATTATATATCAGGAAATGAATTGGATCGCATTGATATTTAAGGTGTTAAGCATGAAATACCAATAAATTGTTAGATTAATGTATAGAAAAAACTGTATATCTATAGAAATATCTATGATGTATTTTACAAGTTTATGTAACTTACTGCTATTTTTTTAAAACTATTATTAAAATATATGCATAAAAAATTGATAATGATAAACATGTTTGTCATAACTTTTATATACTTATGACATTAAATGATTTTTTAACTTCTATTTTCCGGTTAGTGCTAATTAAACAATGTTTTAGTACGGTTATAGGCCGGCTTACATTATTCTTTAATCTTAAGGGGAGTGCTATAGTTTAACTGATGGCAGTTTTCAGAGGCTTATTTTTTTGTGATACTGACGTTTTGTCTTATATTTTTCGAAAATAAACCAAATGACTTCAGCCATAATAAAATCTAAATATGGCATTTAAAATGGCGGAGTTTGACAGATGTACAGGTAGCGGCAAACTTTTCGAGCAAAACCACAGACGAATTAACTTGCGTTGTAGACGTTTTTGTATATACAATTGCTTTTGCGCAGGCTTCCTTGTCTATGGTCGATGCTCAATGAGTTTGATGGGGTGTATACTAGTATCATTATAGCAATGTCTCTTTCATTCGCTATGGAGCATGACAAGGATAAACTGCTGTCAAATATAGTGTTAGTTTAATGGTGGCCATTCACCAGTCACACCACACGCCGCTTGATCAAAGGGCTTGATCAAATAAGATTGATCACGGAACAGAAAAAACAAATGGAAGTGTGAAGTAGACGTGGCGCGCGTGTAAGAATTAAGCGCAGCTCCGTATATTTGATACTACTTATGCGCCATTTGCAATTGAGATTGTGACACGAAAGCTAACTAAAAACATATAATATGCTTAAAACAAATATAAGGCGTCCTTTAATCAGGGTGAAAAATATTATTTATTTTACCCATGACTAAGAATAATTCTTCTTTTTCTTCTTTCTTTTTGTAATTTCTTGACTATGAAAACCATATATGTATCTTTATATTATTATCTGGGGTCTTGAGTAGCGAGATTGCATTGCTCATATATTGGTCAATGTATAAACAGGTCACGAGAGAGGATGTAGCCTTGTCCGATCCCTTTACTAAATAGAAATGGATCCAAAACAGCTGAATGGCAGAATGTTTAATATTTGGTTGCGAGTCCCTTTGCCTTTTATGAAGTAATCATGTTCCTGGGGGAGTTTGTCAGTCCAAGAAGTGTTTGATTCTGTTGTTGATTATATAGCAAAGCCCCATGCTGGCATAATAAAGTTGATCACTTGACGGACGGATTTTGGCGTGATCAAGCGGCATAATAATGAGAGGCCACCATTAGGGACCCATGTCAGAAGTGGGCTGTTACCTAGAAAAAAATATTGACTTATTTCACAAAGGGCCATTACATTACGAAATGAATGACCCTTTGTGAAATAAGTCAATAAATGTTTTTTTAACCTAAAAGTCATGTTCGAATGTAGACGGCATTCACTTATGAGTGAGAGGTCAATAGAGGCGCCGCCATTTTTTAGCCTTTAGTTTAAATATATTAAACCGGCCATTACATTATAAAAATAAATGCTGAATTTTTGACCTTCTGCATTTTTTCCTTTGCGGAATATTGATCAAACGTACGCTTACAACCACACTCAGCAAAATGGATTCAATTTAATGCTTGTGACGTGTTGTGTTATTTTGTTATTACAATCGCAATGATCAACTTTAATCAAACTTAAACATTAATTGATTGATTGTCTCTGAGCATAGCCGTCAGTCTACAGCAGCGTTGCCAGATTTTTTTTGCCAAGTCGGGATTTAGGACCTTTTTGAGCGAAAAAAGCGGGATTCTTTCGTCGAAAGCGGGACATAGTAGTAGTAATACATAATATATCCATAGAAAAAAATATTTTTTAAGATAAATATGATGTTTTAAATCAGATTTACCGTATCGTTAAATAGTTGAGTCTTATTTGTCTTCTGAGAAAAAAAATAAAAAAAGAACAAATCAAAAAAGTTTGATTAGTTTAATTCCCGAAAAGCGGGATTGAGCCTGTTCCGCGGGACATTTAATTTTGATATAAAAATCGGGACGTCCCGCCAAAATCTGGACATCTGGCAACGCTGGTCTACACATATAATTAGTTAGATTCCAATTGACTTTGTTTAAAAATAAGTGCTTTGGGTTTATTAATAAGTACTTATACTAACTTGTACTATATGTAGCTAATATAAATTAATTATTATCGTAAGCGCGACAAGAGTTCGAAACATCGAATTTCTATTGATATGTGTAAGCAATATTTCATACAAAGAAGCTGTTACTATTGATAAGAATTGATTATATTTACAAAAACTTATTACTTATAGTATAAATATATAAAATTATACAAAATCAATTATAGTTCTTCTATTATAGGTATAAGTGTGCCTCATTTATAATTGTTGTTGAACCGAATAAATCAATATGTTACTTATAAAAAATACTCTTTATTTACTCCTGACTCGATACCTACTTGTTTTTATTATATCCGTATAATGTTCCAATGTATAAATTATATATTTCCCCTGTTCAATGAATTACTTACAAAGTATAGAAATGTTTAAAGTCAAACAAATAAGATTTAAATTTACAATTATTTATTGCAGTCGGATTTAGAGGTGTGGAGGCCCCTATTCTAAAATTTGGAATCCCGGGCCACTTACAATTTGCACCCCTTCCCCACCTAGTTGGGGATCTGTTGAAATTTAGTTTTTTTTATTATCTCTGTTGTGGTAATACAGGGCAGGGCACCTGGGCATAGCCCCGTCTGTCCTGCCCTAAATCCGACCCTGCTTATTGCTCGTTTATGTCACGATTTTTTTTTTTTTTCAAAATTTGAATATTGTGAGTTTCGTATATCAAAAATAATAAATGCGTGGTAGTGTGTGTAACATTATTTAAATATTTAAATTATGTAAGTAAATTTAATAATTTAACATATTTCTATTGCATTTTTAGGTAAATCGTAGCTTTCTGCACTCCGATTTATAACTTTATTTATACAATAATCTCATGTTCCTTAATGTTGGTATTTTCCTGTTTTTTTTTTATATGACTTACTGTCATCAAACGATACCACTATACCTTTATCCTGCTTTATGAAGAGAAGAGACTTGTCAAATTTTATGAATAGTAATGTGAATTGCCAGCATAATGACAAATACCAAAGGTCAAACAAAATCTCGCTTGCACCAAAGTTCATTAATTAATTTTAAGAACAAAAATATTTTGATATCTATTTTTTATATACAAAAAGCATTTCCATAATTATAGTTATGTTTGATTGAAACCTTGGGTTGTTTAAGTTTTGATATGTAGTCATAATAAGTGAATATGGGTTCTGTATCTCTATAGTTCACGTAGAGGGCGCGCTCACGCACGCGGCAAATATCGGAACTAATCGGAAACTATTCAAAAGATTTGAAGAACAAAGTGCCTTTATAGCTTTAATTCGTTTTCAGAAGCCCAAAGCGCGAATTTTGACAGCTCCGTAAATTTATGGTCATCGTCAAGATTTGTATTAAAAGCTAGTTTGTTCTTACGTCCGATAGGGGCGCTGCTTAGTTTTCATAGAAACTTTGACGATGCGTACGATGTCGAAATTCGAGCTTGGGCTTCAGTAAATTTTGTGTTGGTCTCAATGTCCAGGTTTTAAAAGTCCTGGCATCATTTGCGCGTACTTAATATACGTGTTTTATAGATTAGGCGAATCTCACACTGCACCGCACTGCGCAAGTGCGATAGCGCGTGTTCTTACGTTGCTTGTATCTTTGTACTGAAATACGCGTAGTGCACACTGAAAACGAATTGGTGTAGTGGTGCTAATCACGCCACATGCAGAGAAACACGTTTTGTATGGCGAATTCTGCACGATGATGCAGATCTGTACCCCAAGCACGAACATTGACATATTAATACATAATTGTATTGCCAACGTCAAAGTTTCTGTGGAAACTAAGCAGCGCACCCACTGGACGTAAGAAGAAACTGGCTCCT